CTACTGTGTTTGGGCGTCAACCGCTTCATCAGCTATCGGATCTGTATGTAATTAGAGAGAGAGAAAGAGACGTAGTCTTTGAATGATGGTAAGTGGTTTTTGAAGCCAGTCATGGGTATCCGTAGTTCAGTGTCAGAGTGTGTTGTCGATATAATTTCATAATATTGGGGACTGTTAGACTCCGTAGAACCGACTTACATCGAAGCTACTTGATATTGCAGTCACAGAAACTACCTTTAAGCCAATCGCTGCAAACCATATCCGGCAGGCATTGAAGTTACTTTTCTTTGAGAAAACGTACAATAAAATGGTTGGCATTGTTGTCCGTCTACTTGTTGGGTAGCAGAGGAATCTCGGGCTCACGTTTCACCCTGTTTTACGTCTCGTCAGCGGGATTTACATGGACCCCAGTGAATGATGCTGTTTCCACTGAGACTCGGGCACAGTAGCTATCGCTTCAATTTCTAAAGTGTTATCAACTAAGTCACTGGGGCACGACAGCAACGGTGAATTATATGTATCAACTAACAGGGGTATCCAACGGCAGACTGATTTACTGTATTGTCAGCATGATGCCTTTCAGCAAAATGCCTTTTGTGAGATATACAGACTGGATAATTTATACAGCCTGGTTAGCATTAACGCCCTTAGGAATAGAGTTTTACCACAAGTCATCACCAACTGTACGATTATCAACCATCTTGAGCCACTCAAGTATTTTTCCAGACAAATCTGTACTACTTATAAGTAGTCTAGTTTTTAAATTAGAAATATCTTCCGCAGGCAAGTGGGATTGCATGAAACATTTCACCAAAAGGCGCTGATATTCTGTATTTCCCTGTTACATAAGTTACATCCATAAATGATAAATTACTGATTTTTCATTACTTCCAGGCAATAAGTTAACTGAATAAATAAAAACAGTGTACATGTGCTAAGAAGATGAAGAAAGTGTGTTCCTTCGCTACTGGCCATTGTGTTCATGGGAATACATATGATTTCACAGTTTCTTACAAGGTTCAGCTAAATTTTGGTGGTCGGAAACCTCGAGGACAACCAATCAGGCTGGAGATGATTTGTTCAAAGTCACTCTTTACGCCCATTTACATTCTTGTGAAATTGTAAAGAAGATTACGTGGCAGGTTACATGTGGAATTTGACGGAGAAGGTAATGTGGTTGGAACAGATGAATATCTTGTCCAGAAAATTGAATATAACCGACGCAGATGACATAAACAGGACTGATTAGGTTATAACTTACCCAAAATTTGTATAGAAACACATTTCTTGGCGAACCACAGATTCCTGACATACACGATCGAAATACGAAGAAATGACATGCTCAGTGGATAAAGAATAGATCGGAAGAATCTATGCTATCAGTTATGCATGCCCACCAACCGTGTGGACCACTGTTGCACATGGTTTTATGTTCTGAGGCTGACTACTGTCTACCAGGGAGACTGCCGACCCCGTACCTACGAGACGCACGATCTCCTAACCGTTTGTTCGGTTTCTAGCATACACAACATCTGTCTATGGTTCCTACTATATCTGGTGTGGTCAGAAAACGAGAACACATATTATACCGTTTAGGACGCTTTTCTTTCTGCCTCCCCAGACACTTTCTTCACTAGTGACGCAGTTCTCCACATGTTAAGCAATTACTCTACTTGTTGATATTCAGTCGGAGTGCAACCACATCCTCCTCAAGGTTATCTGTTTGTCTTTTCCAGTTATTTACATCTGTTGACTCCGTCACAGCCATTGTTGTTGTTTCCATCGACTGTCTGGTCACCTTCATCAGCTCACTAATAATCATGAGTTGGGTTGCGTTCACTAGTCGCAACTACTGTGTAGTGGGATTCAGGGATTTTTCCGTGAGATGTGCAGCCAGTCAGCAAGTGTGCTTGCAAGTCACCATCGAAAGTAGGAAGTGTTCGTCGAAGTCGATTTGTAAACTTGACAGTCAATACCAGTAGATCTTCGTGTAGTGCGTGTTTGGTGCTCTGGAACTGCTGCATTGCCAGCTCTCTGTCAGCTGGGCTGTCGAACTCCGTCTCCAGTCGTTCAACCACTCTCTTGCAACTCTCCTTCCCATCCACTCATTCCACGTCATCATGTCACTTTCGTTCGACCTCTGAGCAACATGTCAAGCAGCTCGACCTTCTTTCCTGGATCCCGGATACCCACAAACTTCGCGATCGACTCGAAATCCTTGAGGAAGACCATGATGCATCCATCCTTTAATACTACAGGTCACATAATCTTCATCGCTTCCAGGAGCAGTGACATCAATTGAAGGAAGATGGTGGAGGGTGGATTGAAGAAGGATTGTTCATTATGACAATATGTATCTCACTAATAAAATATTGTAGCCTTCAGTTTGCACAATATGTTAAAGCTTATCATCATCTTCTTCTCCTATCTCGTCTTGCTATTGATACGTCCACGTCGTCTCGTCTGGTGAGAATATTTATCCATTTGTCGTAATCGTCTCTCAACACATACTACTTATATACATTCTTATCAGTATCACCCACTACAGCATATACCTCTATGTGAAATGAGTTATCCCCATCAAGTTATTGTTCACAAGAAGCACCTCGTTGATCGGGTAAATGGAGTCGATAGAAACAATATATTGAGAATATATGGAATCGCCTTAGGAGGTTTATTGAGATCACCGGGGGGAAATTTCTTGATTATTATTTAAATGATATTGTTTCGTATGGATTAGTGGTAATGGAGAGAGTGGTATAGTTTGCAGGATGATAAATCTAGATATGTTTATTTCTCATGTAGACGTGATTTATAAATTGTAAATGAAGTACGATTTTTATAAATTAGTTACATTGTCGTTCATATTCTTGATTGTGATTGGTCGTCACTAAAGATTTGCTGAACCACTTACAGCAAGCAATTTTATTGATGGGTAAGTGAAAAGAAAACATGTACCGAGTTTAAAGTTACTCTCGAGGAATGATAGATGGTATGGTGTAGTGATTGAGGGTGAAATGAAAACCTGCGTCATAGCAAGATTGGAACCAAAACGTCCATCTGGATGATGTACCAACTGCCTCTGATCTTGTTTTAGTTCTACTCCAATCATTCAAGGATAAACTTATCATGTAAGGATAATCGAAATAGGAAGTAAAGTGAAACAGGTTTTCACCGGGAGATTGGACACCAGTTGGCAAGATGTATGAAGGTTTTATGCAGATGATCACGTGTTAGCTAGAAAGAACTTCGTAAGAATAAGGAGATAAATTATGGCATGGGTAAAACAGGCAGAGGAGTCGTCGGTAAATAATTTTAGCTCATCAAGTTGAAAAATTAAATTTAATGATTAAATTACTCTGATGACTAGGTTCCGGAACAGGCTGTCTGACTGGCTTCAAGAAGAACAAATCAGGTTAGGACCGAATTGCAACGATACGCTACGCGTCATCATAGAACAGAGCATAGAATAGCTGTTCAGTCAACTCTCTAACTCAACTTTATCAACTTTGAAAAGGCCTTCGACAACGTCAGCCGACAAGTAATTAGGTAAGCAGCTGCTTCAACACTACAGTTTTAGTGACACAAACCTTCACCAACCTCATTAAACAGCTAAATGCTATATGAGGATGCTACATGTTTAGTGGTTCACAATGGATATCTCAATGATGCCTTTGAAGTGAAGACAGAGGATAGGAGTAAGACAAAGTTACCTCCTACTATCATCACCAATCATCTTCCTCATTGTGGTCGACTGGACTGAACTGCACTGGATCATGCAAGAAACTGTGAGGAGCGAGAATAGGTGCATACGCTGACTTGACAGATGAAAAGACCCCATGTGAAGATTTGGATTTCGCCCATGATAAATTCTGTTTAGTGTCTAATGCCACACAGACTCGAAGATCTACAGGCGAAAACTAACAAGTTGGCAGATGAGGCGAGGCGAGGCGGCGAAGGAAGATGGGACTTCCTTCAAGTGAACGCAGAGAAGACAGAGGTGATGAAGATACCCAACCACCACCACCACCAACAACAACAAGCACCAATCACCATCGACGGGAGAAATCTAAACGAAGTTGTCTATTTCACCTACCAACTTACCTACCTACCTACCTACCTAGGCAGGGCAGCATTGTTTCAACTACAGGTGGCGGCAGCGGCGGCACAGATGAGGAAGTCAAAGCCAGGATCGGAAAGACACGAAGACAGACCTTCATTAATCTGAAATAGTCAGCGTGGAGATCTACTCCACTGCATTGCACTGCACTCAGCATAAAGCCCGAACTAGATCACGATTTTCAACACGAATGTCAGTTAAGGCAGTCTGCCTCTTTGTGATGGTTGAGAGACTTGTCGTGTTATGAAATGCATTTGCAACAAATTGCAGACATACATCACATCAACAGCTGACACCTACCCTCACTCGATACTGACACCGAAGATCAGATGGATGGAATAATAAGAATAAGCAAGAATGAAGTGTGGCTGGCTGGCTGGCAGGTGACGAACCAATCAACAACCCATCACCCAACAAATAGGCAGAAGAAGAAAGTGGACGTGGATTGGATTGCATTGGACAAACACTGAGAAGACGATTTAGGGATATCACACGCCAGGCCACGCCCTCAAGTGGAATCCAAATGGGAAGTGACGAGTTTGGCATCCAAGAGTGACATGTGGGAGGAGGAGATGTGAGGAAGAAATGAGAGCTTCTGGGCCTTTGTGGAGCCAGGTTAAGAAGACTGGAGAGAAGAGAGTGAAATAGCAACGTGTTACTGGAGCCGTATGTCTCATTAGGAACCCAAAGTACAAATAAGTATTAATAATGACATATATATATATATATATATATATATATATATATATATATCATACTGGAGTATAACAGAATAGAGAAGAATTGTATTGTCTATATATATATATATATATATATATATAATTATACAAAGCTTAATTGAAATAAACATCTTCAAGCTAAATGATCTGCCTACATGGATTCAAGCGATAAGTAAACCTTCTGATGTGACTTGTTGTAATAAGTTGTACATATTTCGTTCATTTTGACGGCGTTTACTTTCCAATTCATCATCTTTTGCTTTTCGAGCAGCATCGATAAGTGGTTCAGAATATTGAGGATCTTTGGTTGGATTGTATACATCAGTTAAACTATGCGCTATACCACCACCCAATGAGGTTGGTGTATACTTCTACAATACAAATTAACAACAAACAGGATGATAGATAACTATCTAGAAGTAAAAGTAATTAAGTAAGCATGTTACCACTTTTTAACCTGATTGCATCTTCCTCTAAGCGTGGGTAGAGAGTAGGATTATGAAGGGTTAGGTGTGAGAATATGGGCATCTAATTCACAGATATGCAGGAGTTTTTATGACTACAGTTACCAACTATTTTTGCTGGTCAGAAGGAGAGGTAAGGCAACTTTGCGAATCATTGTTCTGAATGGACAACGTGAATATCTGTCGTGCAATGCTAAGACCAAAAACAGACGCATTGACAGCAGCGGACATGCTCATACCACTATTGCAGTAGGTGTGGAAGGAAGGGAGGTACCTGCCGATTGATTGGAAGAAGGGTTACCTTGTCAAACTCCAAAAGAACAGAGACCTAAGTCATTGGAAGAACTGGCGAGGAATCATGCTCCATCTCTGTCCACCCAGAGCAAGCAAAATATTAAGCCGCATTATCTTGGAGAGACTAATGGATGCACTGGATTCAAAACTATAACCCGAACAGGCTGGCTGGCTGACTGGCTTCAGGAAGTGCAAATCATGTGCGGACCAAAGTGCAACGCCACACCACGCATCATCACAGAACAGAGTATAGAATGGCAGTTCAGTAGACTCTCTACCTCAACTTCACCAACCTTGAAAAAGTCTTCAACAGCATCGACCGACAAGTAATTTGTCAGACAGCTGCTTCAACACTACGGAATACCACAAACCTTTATCAACCCTATTCAACAACTATATGAAGACGTCACATGCCAAGTAATTCACAATGAGAAGCTCAGTGATGCTTTTGAAGCGAAAGTGAAGACAGGAGTGAAACAAGGTTGCCTACTATCCTTCATGATATTCCTGATTGTGGTCGACTGGATCATGCAACAAACAGTAGTTAGTGAGAAGATGGGGATACGCTGGCTGGACCGGGGAAAAGAACCTAGAAGATTTGGATTTCGGCGATGACTTGTGTCTCAGGTTACACAAACTTGAAGATGTACAGCCGAAAACTAACAAGTAGACAGAAGAGGCGAGGCAGAGCAGCGAAGATGGGACTTCAAGTGAACGTAGAGAAGACAGAGGTGAGGAAGATACCCAATCAACAACGCCACCACCACCACCACCACCAACAACAACAACAACAAGCTCCAATCACCATCAATAGGAGAAACTGAAAGGAAGTAGCCTCCTTCACCCACCCGCCTAGGCAGCACTGTTTCAACTACAGGCGGCTGTGGCACAGACGAGGACTTCAAAGCATCCAGGATAGGAAAAGCAGGATAGGCGTTCATTAGCCTGAAACCAGTGTGGAGATCTTCTGCACTCAGCATAGAGCGTCAACAACATCCGGATTTTCAACACTAACTTCAGTCAAGTCAGTGCTTCTATGTGATGGTTGAGAGAGTTGGCCCATTACGAAAGGCATTTCCAACAAACTACAAACATTCATCAACAACTACCTACGCTCGTTAGTGAAGCTCAGATGGGTAGAAAGAATAAGCAACAAGGAACTCTGGCTGGCTGGCTGGCTGGTGACGAACCAACCAACAACCTATCACTCGCTCAACAAATATGCAGTGGAAGGAAGTGGAGATGGGTTGGGCATGCATTGAGAAGACCATTCGGGGATATCACGCGTCAGGCGAGGCCAGTCACTCGAGTGGAACCCCAATGGGAAGAGACTAGTTGGGCGTCCCAGGTGAGGGTGACATGGAGGAGATGGTGTGAGGAATAAATGAGAGCTTGTGGGCAGTCGTGGAACCAGGTTGAAGGGAGTGCAGAGAACAGAGCGCACTGGAGACGTGCTACTGAATCCCTATGTTCCACTAGGAACCCAAGGGACAAATACGAATAAAATAATAGAAATGATAAAACCATGACTAGAAATCATAGTCCAACTATTTAGCTGTAAACAACTGCTTAGAAATACAAGGAATCTCGAAATCGATAAAACTTTCAGTTAGATAGAAATAGTATTTACCAAAACCACCCCATTTGCTGTCTTAATGTAAAGCTTTTCTGTTAGAAATTACTTTGTAGTTATCAAAAATTAGAAATTGTGCTGCAACTGGATGTCATATAGGCATCAAAAAACCTATTTTGATATGCGAACGAAGTATGGAAAAGAACAGATCGAGAAAAAGAAAAAATACCCAACAGTGAGGAATAAGGTTGTTATGCACTTTACACTCAAGGGAGATACAATATCGAAGAGAATGGGCAGAAGAATCAGAGGAGAACTGAGAACGAGTTTTTCTGTAACTAAACTTACATATGCTCACTGAACCGATCAAAATTAGATAATTAGCTTGGTCATATCATCTCCAATTGTATTTATGGATTCATATGAAATTGCGATAGCAAGTAAGTTGGAAGGACTAAGAGGAGGATGACTATTCGGTTCACTGAGCACATCCTCGCTAATCTGTGCTCGAAATGAAGTAACATTCTAATCAGTGAAATAGCCAGACATCCCGTAGACATAGGCTATCAAGTTGATACCTCTAGTGTTTTCAAAATAGTTAACGTATAAAGAATGTCTGGATTACTGTGCTTCATAGAAGCGATGGCAATAAAACGCCACCAACTTGACCTTTGCATACAGAAGGAGAATGTGGCTAGTTTCTTATCCCCTTGGTGACTGTGATTTGGCCCCGTTTCATTTTAATTACATAACTTTTTATTTTGTTGCAAAACTTAAGATTATTGGTTCCCTTTGAAATAACCATTGTACTTTTAGACTGTATACAACTGAAGTGAACTCCTGAAATAGCTTGATATCAGTTTATTCTGCAAATCTCGTCCTTCTTGATTTATCTAAGACAAATAGTGTTCTCATTTAATGGAATATGTTAAAGTTTCTAGCTCTGCAACTCCTAGCAGTATCATGCATAATTTTGGTCCACTGGAAACAGTCGGGTGATCATTCCCGTTTGTACTTTGAGTAAAACTACTACAAACTCCTTGAAACAAGTTTGGTTGGATCACAGAACAGATAGTAAAAATGTATACCTATTTCAATTGAATGACCTGGAATTTGAATAGTAGGCATGGATATTGCAATATATTCTTCACTTGTTGAATAGTGACTAGGTAGAAAAGATTATTGGACTCCTTATGGTAGTGTACTTTATCAGAAATTTGATTTACACAATTGTCTCAGGCATTAGAAAGATAACAAAAACAATCATAAAATAGCATACTTATTCAATAGGCTGTTTGAATCATCAACCTTTTCCTATAATCGTTTAAAGCATCATCTTGTGAAGGTGTAGTTCTCCTTTTAAGTAATACAACTAAGCTTCGGATTATAATACAAAGGAGAAACATTAAAAGCAGCTTGATAGTCAAGTACAAGTTAGTATGATCAACTATAGTTCATATCTACTGTTGAGAAACTAGAAATGATTCACGGATGCTGAGAATAAAGCAGATATATATATATATATATATATATATATATATATATATATATATATATAGACAAAGCTTACTGAATCTAGCAATGAATTCGAGTTTCATCTAATGTTTGTAGTGAAGAGGAAAGTAATGATAATCTATCGAAAAATTGGTGGGTAATGTAATGAGTATTACCTATGTTAATGTGTTTGAGTGAGGTTAAAGGTCACTCTAATAATACTCAAATAAGCAACTAGGTTTTATCATTGTGTTACTCGGGAAGATAATTTTCCATGAAATATGGTTAGTTAAATCATTAGTTGCTAGAGTAGACTTTAAAGTCATTTACGTTGTATGAGTACACATAAAACGCCAAGTTTCGGATTAACAAAGCGAACCGCAGTGTCAGACTCACTTAAAGTGAAACAGTATTTCACTATTGATGAGTATTTTACGTTTCATAAGAGTTAACAGAATGAAACTCTACGCTATAAAATGTACGAGATAAATATTTTAAAAAAATCACCTGAGGAAATTTACTGCAGAAAACATTTTTCCACATTTCAAGTGGAGATTTAGCAATCAAACGTCCAATTTCCATATCTGTATTTGGTGGCGTTCCTGAAATAAATAGAAAGTCAACCTAAAGTCAGTACCCAAAATAGATCTAATATGTAAAAAGCCGGAGACAACTAACGCAGTAAACTACTATAAGCAAGCTGTAAGGTGACCAAAATCAATCTTTATTGTGTACATTTTAAGATTTCAACAACAGCTGTGATTAGAGATAGTAATTCAGTTAGAAATATTAGGCAAACCTAAAAATATGATCGTTGTCCGTAAAAGTTCATTTTAAATTGATTCATTTCACAATGCAGAAACTCTTCATAGATTTAACGCTTATGTATTTCCTATGGCTGGAAAAGTAGATCTCATTTATGTGATCGCTCAGTTTTTCAATATACGGAAGAAAACGATCAGATAACACAAGGTTTATTGCAACGTTAAAAAATGTGAACAAAATACACGCGTTAGTATATATTTACAGTGATGTAGGCTATTTCCAGGCCTTTCTAGATTTGAACTCTAATGAGTTTTCATGTTTTCAACTAATTTGATATACATACTTTTTCCTGAAAGTTTTGGTTAAAACGATCAGTTTCAAGAGGCTTCAGAGATTTAAAGCTTTTTATGCAGATCATGATAGTCTTATTCCGCAGTGTAACACTCATATACCAAGGGAACTTAACCTATTGACATATGAAAGTGAAATAATTGACAGCAGTAACTTGGATCTGTCTAAAACTGTTTCTAGAGGCTTTTTTTGAGAACCCCAAATTATTTCACCTGGCTGAAAACTTCTTAAAAGACACGGACTAGAAGTAAATAGCTGCGTAAGTCAATGTTTAATTGTTCTTCCTAACATATCAACAATTCTTTCAGTGTACTTCGCTAAAGGAAATTGTATGTTATATGTAACTCTACTGACATATGTTTTAACTACTTATGGTCACTTGCATATTTAGTGTTAGTGTTTACTTTTTACACCCAATGAAACTTACAAGATGGATGTCTGTAACAGTTGACAGACTGATGCTTTGGTTTGGAGCACAAAAACACTAACAATCTAAATAAAAGGGGAGAACTGTTTTCTTTGTTATGACCATTTTGAGTACAGAGTTCACTTATGAGGTGAGCTAATGAAATGAGGAGGGATTTGAAAAACGATTCGGAAAAAGGCATAAATTGCTTTTCAAAATCTACCCATAGATAATGTAGAAACTTCGTGCCTTGCTGGGTCATAGGAATACTATAAGATGCCATTTGATTCTGAAATCCTATAGTTGTCCATCTGAATTACGTATTACAAACCTCATTATTTACCTTTTATCGGGATAAACTAAGTGATCAAAGAGGTGGTTTGAGACATCTATTTACCCCGCAACATAATTACTAGAGATGACTTCAGACTGATTTCCATCTTGTAATCTGTAAAACATAACCTGAAATAAGGTTGAATGCAGGTCTGTCAAATTCCCGGAAGCTAAGGTAATCCCCATAATTTCAGATCTGTTTCGACCGAAATGAAGCAAAATGGTGGGTTGTCAAACAACCAACCTTCACAAGCTTTTATTGGTCAGTAGCAACAAGTCACCTTTAGTTAGGTCCCGTGTTAGAATTTGAAGTAGATGAGTTAGGATATTGGTGGAGAAAATAATGAAAGCAATACTTAGCAGGTAAAAAAGGGTCTTGGGTAAAAGCTGACTGTAAAACAGAGTTTTACACAAAGCACGCTACATCTGATTAGATTTATTTTCAAACTTTTTCAGTTTGCTATGGTCTGACATAATCTTTTTCAACATACATACGAAAGAGCAAGTTAGAAGTGAAATTATTTTTCGGAAACTATATCAAGACGGTGAAATTTAATTGTCTAAGTCTAGAAATTCGTTTTTCGCACAGAGCTGTGGGCTACTGGGACTCTCTACTGGGGCTCATATTGTTTTCAATTCCGGTCGACACAGTCAAAGCGAGATTGACTCTCCAAAGCACTATCACTAGCAAGGAAATATGCACGTCAATGAACAACTATATTTATTTTCCAACGCTAGACTTAGGGCTAAATGAAATGCCAGCAAGTCGCTGACAACAGAAAAACAGTTAAAAATTTGATTGTTCTGAAACAGTTACCAATATTTGAGAATGAGTCCACACCAACGGGGATAGCCAATGGCTTTCCTGTATCTATTTGTACACTGCATGTCCCCCTGCCACCGAACGCAATGTGGTTGAGCATTGCCTTTGTTTTTTTGAGCAGTTCACCTTCCTTAATAGATGAAAACTATGAGGTTTCAAAAAATATTGCACACATATACATATACAGACGCTCCATAGTAGTGACTGAGAAAACGTAGTGTCTTGCAAATCAGATCCTGTTGTTCAGTATTTAAAGCCTTAAAAATTAATATTTGTTCGATATCACTTGCCATGAAGAGATCATATTTTGTTCCTAAAAATGTAAGCGATAAGGGAAAAGGCTTCAACAGCTGCACATCTGGATGTGTTGATGGAATTCTTTTCTGCAAGTTTTCATTTAAGGTGTTCTGGATATGCGTTATGTTTCTCTGGCGAAGTCTTTTCAGTATTTGGTCTATGCGAATAGATGCTGACTTTAGCAAAGTGTCCACAGTATCCCACAGTTCTGTGGGCTTTGATAAATCAATAGCAAGGATAAGATGAAGATTCCTTCAGACGATAATAATGGGGTTCATTAAATAACTAAAAAGCAACAAACAATATATTATTGGGCGTGATTAAGACATCAATTAGATCTGAAAGTTTCAAACCACCACCAAGCTCCCATATATGTGATACTGCTCTAGTCTGCTTCTAAATTATCTATGAAATAATTTTAATTGACCAGATGGTTTCCAGCCCCTTTCCTCCCAAATGTGTAGTCAAGTGCCAGAGTTGCCTTTGGTGTCTCATCTTTTTCAAGGAATTGGTTAATAATTGAACTTTTTCCCTATAGAAGGTTTAACAGAGTATAGATGAAGGCAATAAGTTAGTATTTAAACTTACCGACTCTTTATTTCCAGCAAAAATGATTGTATTTTCTGTATTATATTGCACTTTTTGATCATAAAAAGAATACAAGGACTGGATACCTACCTGGTTTGGCCTTATTCTGCTGAACAGCTATATCCCAAACGGATCGTGTCATTTCAAAACACCGGGGTTATAGGTAAACATTTAATAATGCATTTCGTGAGTTCGAACCAGCGTCCAATGCCTAAGTTACAATGTTTCAAAGGAATTCTTGTAATCAGAATACAAGAGTAAGATTCCTTCTAGCTTTGTTTACTTGTCACCTTATCTAAAATGTACTTCTCTAATCCTTAGTCGTTTAGTTTCGTAAAAAAGATTTTACAGTTTTCATATTTCGTATGTTCATGTGTAGTAATGACAGATCACTTTTAATCTTGGGAGTTAGTTTGGTAGGACGAGCTCTTATGCTAAGAGTCGCCACATGAAGTACACTGAAGGTCAATTCCTGTTTTTTAAGTCCCAAAAGATGCTGAAGTTACTTGTTCTGTGTGGGAGTCGTATTGGCTTACAACGCTATACAAAAAATCTCAGCTTGGGTTCCTGAACTTTAAAGTGGTATCCCTTAAATGATCAAGTCTTAAGGGGAGGAAGAGATTGGATGAGCTAGCACGGAAATCATCACTCGAGTAACACTAATAAGGTATCTCTGAAGCATTTATAAGATGTGGATCCAAACAATTCAATCACTGATACCAAAGAGTCGTGAAAACACTCCGACGAATTTGGTCTTTACCCTCTGAAATCACTCAGGCATGTCCGCTTTGTATTCACAGGATGATTTCACCGCTTACATAACCCATACACATATACACACCTGTATGATGAAATAACCGGAGCATATCCCCACTAAAGCACTGAAAGGCCTTACGAGACCATAAGACTGAAAAATCTTTAGGCACTGGTGCTGTGTAGTCTGTGTTAGTTTTATGTTCATGGCCAACTGTAACTCCGAAGTCCTTGAACTTCTAAACCTGGAATGGCAGTAACTAGCCAGTCAAGCCGATATATATATATATATATATATATATATATATAACCATAGCCAGCGCCCATTCCATAGGCTATTCGAATAAGGTGACGAGATCTTCTCTTAAGCCACCCCGTCACTACTGTAGTGCGACTTCATGGCACCAAAATGCAACCAGGACCAAAACAGGTAGATTTCAAGCGAGTTAGCCAAATGTTAGGTAAATAAACTTCCAGCTTGCCTGATGTTTACGATGTTTTAAATTTTGTTTCGACAAATATGCCTCAAGAAGGCTTCGGCGCTACTTTTCATCCCCTTTGTGCGGACTGAAATGTACGTTTTCAGAGTCTCTAGCTCAGGCATATTAGCCGGGTAAGCTGGGTAAACTTTTTCCTTAATAATCAACCTCAAATTTACTCTATTTAAGCATATCGTTTCTAAAATGGTGGAGAACATTTGTAGCTGAGGTATAAAGTCTTCATACTGAAGTTATTGCTGGAGATGTCGCCTAGAAAGACAACAAAAGCACCACGACTAAACAACTCGGAGACTACAATACACCTAGAACATGTCGTTTTTGGGCTCATTCCTAAGTAATTGTCCTTCTGATTTGTGTTTCGTTGTCACCATTTACACGTTAGATAAGGCACTGATTAGGCAGGTACCAGAGTACATCTAGTCTAATAAGCCTGGTAAAGCGTTACGTAATAGCAACATATCCAATGACCTACACTGCTATTGCCCATAGTTTCACGGATTCGAACATAAAGAACAACACAAGATGTTTTCACTTATAATGACAGTTCGCCGATATAGCAAGAATAAGACGAGGGTGGGAATATTACCTTGGAGTGCATCACCTGTTATCGATTGTCAAGGGAGTGGGACTGTTTCATTACCCATATTTCGCGTCGTGCCCGCACGGAACCAATTGGCCCTATCCCCGACTTTTTCATCAATCCACTTCTCATCTACCTTTACTAAGAATATTGTGCGCGAAAACTCGCCAAAAATATGACAAGATCAACAAACGTAGTCATCAGGGACGCCGTTATAGGCTGCTTTAGATCGGGCCTCATGTGCGATGGGACTAGTCGCTTAAGAATGACTTGCCTCAACAAGACGCCGTCTTCTGTTTTCTGCTGCCTTCAGCGTACAGCAGGACGAAATTAAGGATGACTTTTTCGAGTGATTTTGCAAAACTAGTGCTTTGGCTCACCGGATTATAGTTAACTGTTCGAGTAGACCTCACACTTACTGGACACTGGAGAGTAGTTAGTTTCGTTTTTCTATTCCCGAGCACTGACGAAATTCTATCCACCATTCTGCAATGTGGGAACCAGACTGAGAGGCTAGCTCTTTCAGTGCACTTTGATAACTGTTACTTGGGCGAGGCAGTCCCCAGGGGGTCCTGAACCAAGATTTCATGATGGTTGGTGCGGGTCTGAACCTCGCACATAACAATGGTACCTTCGAAGTGGCAGAAACACCTTGATGGCGGGTGCCAGAAGGCAGGAAAGGTAGCTTACCGACTGCGTCCCACAAACTAACATGTATCAAAGCCAAGTAATGAAAATCGAACTGATTTTGAAATTCTTCTTTTCTCGGAGTGACTTCTAGCGGCTCGGCGACTTGTAATAATAATTATGCGAATACACGAAAGTTCATATCGCTAAACAGCGGCAGTGAAAATAATAGAGGTATAATGACTAAGTATGGGCAGCATCCTGGCTGAAGTGAGTCGTTCAATCAGTAGGTGTACATTGAACATGGAACAGCACTGGGAAAGATTCACTGATTTTATTCATTGGTGCTGGAAGTATGCGCGGCTGTGCATCCAGATCATCAGACTGACTAATGTTCAGGACCTGAAATGCTTGCAGGACAACTTATTTATCCACAGGGTCTGGTGCCATTCTTAGGGAATGTCCACCAGCAGTGGTCAAAGCCTCGCCACAGACTTCAAAGAAAGCCCAACGAGGTGTCGACCGTGGTCAAACCATCTTCCGCCATTCTTGTCAGACCCTCGAAAGAACTGAAAGTAGGGTAGCATCGCTTTCTGTTTTTTCCCTAATATGACAGAATGATAATAGAGGGTAGTTCTAGAAGTTTCTAACTAGTTTGCCGTGATATATTCTCCCAGGTTTTCGATCAGAGAGCTATATTGGCGTCTAGCTTTACTCCACTCAATTTTAACCTTCAGGAAAAGCACAGATAGATAGGTCATATGATCGCTCTTTGAGCACAGTAAACTTTGGGTCCGTAAACAAGCCCGTGGAAGTCCACAGATTCGTCACAGATCGCGGCAAAGTCGAATCTATACGCTTCTCTTTCATGTGGTTCTTGATTGCATCAATTTGCCGATTTCCTCCTGTGTCCGACCACTTACTAACACATTTTTGTAGCAACATTTCGGTGTATCCCATATAGTTGGCCGACGGCTCCGCCACTCGCCTCACATGCCGCGTTACTACAGTTTCGGCACACCACGCAGACAGGTTCCCCCATGCCCTACAGGTGGGGAGGGGTGGGATCTCCTTCTTTCAGGACATTTTTCATCTGGGTGGGAGGGGAGATGATCAACTCATGGTTCGGCTTCCCGTTGGGCCGAATAGTCGTGACTTCGCCAGGCTTACGTCAGTTGCCTAAAGCTTCACTTTCAACTGATTTGATCTGCCTACATTTCTTCAAACCTTTTGTTCGGCGCTTATCGGGTGTGGGATTCAGCTTCATCACCGAGGGGATCTCTTCAGAAGGCATGCTAACAGGGAGGTAGTCCGTGACCCTGGTCATTCCCCTCCTGCCTCCATCTGCGCGCGAAATATTGGAGTTGGCCACTACCGGAGGACAATCAATGACTACTGCTTTTCTTGCTGCTAGCTTTAGAGGTTTTTTGGGACCATGAGATCTCTTCTGATTGAGGCTGGTTTGCGTAGAGTTCCCAGCTGTGTAATGATCGGAGTTCTGCCTCACTAGCGCTCGGCCTATTTGATATTTACTTCTGGACCTGCAACATGGACAGAAATGCCAATCTCCACCAAAGGGGCTATTAGGCAGTGCATCATAATAACCAGATGGCTGGCCGGGATCGCAGGAGCAGTGAGCCCATTGAGAGTTGGGCTCACAACCCATTGCCTTGGCCGAGCAGCTGGTATTTCTGCGACAAACCACGCAGACACCCTTCCAAACTGTCATCAGACTGAATGAAGGGTAGATAAATATTTGTTCGAGGAGTTCCGAACCGCGACACAGCAAATATAACAAACTAATCTAGCCACATTACAACCTACAGAAAACTTAAAAATGAAGTAGAATAAGTAAAGTGAACTGGTTGTCATTCAACCCTTGCATATATAGTAGTTTGACGTCGGGTCAGCTCTTAGATGATTCTGGCAAAATACCCCACAAACACTCCGAGAAGAGCCTAACAAGACCTAACGACTGTGGAAGAGTGGAACTAGAGCTTGATAAAGAGCTTTCTCTCCTCCAAACCTAGCTTCCCTAGGTGTTCTCCTAGGGCCGCGCTGCGTCTGAAACTGAGCAAGTATAACAGTTGTTTTTGATGAGTGTTTGCGGTATAATATCACTTTCAGCGTCTCGCTTAGTCCACTATATCCCAGAGAATATGTAAACAGGTGCTGCCAATCAGTTTTCGTGTGTTTTAGGCCCAAGTCCCTAAACGCCTTCGGTCGACCACCCCTGGATGCGTTCTAGAGTGACTCCGTATCCATAAATGAGCCATGAACTACCATAGTCTCAGACTACGCGTGAGGTTATGTAAGGCTGTAAAAAAAATTCCGGAAACATTCATAATCAAGTTGCTCGGAATCACCTCCGCCAGTTACTCATCCCCGACTGACTCAAAATGGGTTTCTGCCACACTGGACAGGCGGTTCAAGGTTTTTGGCATCCGGATCCTCTCCCATGAGTGATGGTTCTGGTTCTACGCTCTTTTGACTATAGGTGAGATATGCCTTATGAACTGCATTTTTCAAAATTAAGAGCAAGCCCACAATTTTGGTGTTGGATTAAAGCCTGCTGCATGCGAATTCTACTTTCCTGAATCCTGCTGTCAGCACAGTTTAATGCCGCTGAAGTAACTGATAATTTCGGAAGAAACCATCTGAGGTGAGTCTTTTATATGTGTC